AGAAAAACTGTAAGAGACAAAAATTGTTTATTTTCTTCTCATAAAGTTTTGAGAATTTTTTTAAAATTTTTTAATACGGTATTTTCTCATGTTGGTAAAAATAAGAAAATGCAATACTAAAGAGTTGATAAAAAATTCTGAAAAAATTCTTAGAGCTCTATGAGAATATAGTAAACAATTTTTGTCTCTTGCAGGTTTTCTGTAAAGTTGGTAGTATTTGAGTAAAAAATTATTGAAGACTAATTTTCGAGAATTTTTAGTAATTAATATCTTGTTAACTATTATGAAAATTGTAAAATGGCAAAGGGCTTTTCTTTTCAGTTTAGTCCATTTTTCCCCTATGCAAAAGATTTTTCATTAATTATCAAACACCCTGTATATATAAATCCTTATTTATTTGTTTCTTATATATAGTCTAAGAGCGTAAAAATTGTGAAAATATATTCATTATATTTAATATTAACATTAATATTTAAAATAAGTACAACACATATAGGCCATGGTCCGATTCATGCTGACAACGCTCATGAGCATCATTTGTTCAACATTTGACAAACAACAAGGATGAAAGAATTTTTAAGCGTTGTAAGCGTGAATCGGACCGCGACCATAGTAGATTCTACTGATATCTATTAATTGTGACTATAATTAAATTTAAACTTTAAAAAGTATGTACTCATATTTTAAATACCTAAATATTGTTCTTCTTCTCTAAATACCATTCTGTAATAAAAAATTTGATAAAATCAAATCTTACCCGCCGCCAATCTGCCCTCCTGGCCCAAGATAACCTCCATATCCTGGAATCAGGCTGCTACCACGATATGATGTACCAGGATAAACGGATCCAATTCCCGTATCATATGGGTAGCCTCCGGGATATCTTCCAAGATATCCCCCTGGATATCCTCCAATTGATCCAGGATATCCTCCAATTGATCCAGGATATCCACCTTTAGCTATATGAAACGCTAGCACAAATATTTTTTATATGAATGATATAAAATTACGTACCACTGAAATCAACACTGAGAGAAAAGATTTTGTTATAGGAACGTCACCTTTAGCTATATGAAACGCTAGCACAAATATTTTTTATATGAATGATATAAAATTACGTACTACTGAAATCAACACTGAGAGAAAAGATTTTGTTATAGGAACGAATCAGGGGAAAGCAAATGTGATATTTGTTAAAA